GTTTTTTTATTTATTTTCTATGAATTTTTTAAGTCTGAAATTTTCCCCCTGTGGGGAAAATTTCAGACTTGATCCGAATAGTTTTTTATTTCGTGTTAAAATACCATAAATAGATAGTCATAATAATTTTATAACAGAGTTAAAAATTAAAAATTTATTAACAATAAATGATAATTTTTATCAAATAAATATAATATATATGAGATGAAAATAAATTTTGAAGTAGTTATGGATAAAAAAATTGATGTTAAAGAAATTCAATTGTCTTGAAAAGAACATTCTATGTTAAATTTTTAAATAAAATTTACATTTTAAAGATTATTTTATTTTAAAGAAGAGAGAGTGTAAATAACAGACAGATCAGTGAGAAACTAGTAGAAAAGAACAATTGTCTTTAGTTATGAACGATGGTCTAACATCAGAGGGTTAATATTAATAGTCTTTTTACATCAAATTTAATTCAAAATTTTATATAATATTTGGATTATATTTTTACAGTTTTTTTTCAAAATTTAAAACAAAAAATTTGATATAATTATTTAGTATTAAATTGATTTTTTTTGATCTTCTTAAATATATAGTTTCGTTTTAGTGTACTAATAATTAATTTTCAAAAAATCAAGTTAAATAGTATTTGATATTCAAACAAATTTCCTTTTATAATACCAACATTTTTAACTAAATCATCAAACATTTTATTATAAATTTGTATAACTAAATATATGTTTGATTGTGTTTAAATTAAAAGATTATATAGTGTGTTTTAAATTTTTTACATTATCATTAATAAAAAATTTAATTTGTCATATTAATTGTATGACAATGAGTACCATTTCACTATATAATGTAACCACTCTCAATGGCGTTGAAAGTTGGTATATATTTTTTTTAAACACGTAATATACTAATTCTTTAAAAATTAACAATACTTACTAAGATAAAGGTAAATTTTTTAAACTTTGTTATATTTTGACATGTCACAATAATAAAAAATCATTCAACCTCATTAAACCAATTTATGTTCAAAAATTAAAAATAATATTAATATATTAAGTATATTTGTATTTACTTTTACAAAATAAGACGTTAAATTTATTTTAAAGAAATACCTGTTTTAAAACAATTTTTGTAAAAAATTCACTAAAAATAACCTATTAATTCATATTATAATGTTTTTAAACTTTTTATAATATTTTTTATAGTCAAAAAGTTTTAAATTTTATTTATCATTAAATGTCATGTTCTTTAGATTTTCATTTAATATTACATTAATTTTTCATATAAAAAGGTTTATTGTTTTAATTAGACAAAAAAATCGAATTATTTTTATTAATATACCTATTTATCAACTTTTTTGTATTTTTTGAAACACTTACATTAAATAACTTCAAAAAAACAATTACAATAAACAATTGTAAGCTTTATGCATATCAAATTATTTAAAATTATTTTTATAAGAAGTTTAAATAGAAAATTTGATTTTAAAAAGCGATTTATAACTGTTATAAACCTACTATCAATCATTGTAATACTTTTCCTTTCTAAAATTTCTCTATTAGAATCTGATACAGCAGTATTTAAAAATTCAGTCAGTAAAATTTTTATCTATTTTTACCATTTCTATTATTATTTTTTCTTATCTTATATCTCGACATTTAAATAAAATTGATAAAAAAGATTTAAATAATGGTTTAAGGTGTAATTAAATTGCATCAAGAAGAGGGTTTGTATGATCTTTAATACGATAATATTCTAGTTTATTTAATTATGAGAGGTCTGCCTATCATAAATATGATTCTAGAAAAATTAGTAAAATCACCAAAGATATGAAATTTTATATTAAATCTCTTTATAATTCAAATAATTTTATTATACCATCAAAAATTTTAAAAAAAATTTTAACACTAAAATTTCAAAACCTACTATTTCAAGAATATTGAAAATTTTTAGTTTTATATTAATATAATTGTGAAAACCTCTTTACTCAAACTTGTTAATATAATTAAAAGATTTGAAATTTTAAAAAAATAGGTATTGTTGTGTTTAATACTTACTAACTAAATTATCAATTACAAATTTTCTATAAGAATATTTTTAAACACAAAGTTGTTTTAAAAATTTACCCCTAAGATTACTATAAATAAATCAAATCTTAACAACATTACAATTACTAATAAATTAAAGACTACCTCAAAGTATTGTTTCATACTCTTTATTTCAACTAGAGAAATGTATAGGATAAAATCTAGCAGGTATGAAAAATGAAACATCAAACAAAATTATTTCACCGAACGAGACTGAATTTAATTTATTATAGTAATTTCATCCAATGTGTACAATATTACCCCAAAAAGATATAATTTGAAAAATTATATTGGCACAGTAAAACAAAATCGAGAATGTATTATGACAAGGGTTCAATATTATATCAAAGAAATAAAAGGCTAATTTTTATTAAAATACTATGATTAGAGTAATTTATAAACAGATTTTAGCTCAAATTTAAGATAATTTGCTATTGAAATGGAATTTGATAATTTATCTTACTGTTGGATAATAATCTCAAACATAGTTTAAATATAACAAGTAACTGATTAGATGAAAAGAATATTCGTGTACTACTTTTGGCACAATAAAGTTCAGATAAAACTATAATAAACACATTTTGGGTATATATGAAGGTATGTTTAAGAAGAGAAGGTAAGCCTAACAAAAAATTATTGAAAATAAATTGTTAAAATATAGAATTATATTATACTTAGAATGATTAGATCTTACTATTTAAGTTTCAAGAAGAGAGTTTTTGCTGTTTTTCAAGCAATAAATAAATAAATTAATTATTAAATAAAATACAAACGAATTTTTTTGAACACTGTTTTTACTATTAACTAAGTAATGTATAAATTAATATTTATACTAATGATTTTCTTTATTTAATTTAAAACAATATTTAAATTTGACTATTTTATCCCTTAATTAAAAAATTATGTTTTCATACTTAGTTTTAAATTTAAGTTAAAATATTCGATGGTTAATTCTTTTTGAATACGACTGTAATAGTTTTTAAGCAAAATAAAAAATTTAACAAACATAATTAATATAATATAAGCAGTGTTATGAACTAATTTTTTATAATAAAAATATTAATAATATGTTATTTAATAAAATTAAGATTTTTTATTTTTTGATTTATAATTTACAAATATTTAGTGTGTTTTTTTATTCTTTAAACATATCTCTATTATTAAAATTACTAATGTTTATTGATAATCATATTTATACAATTTTATTTAAAACATATTATTTATGGTTTGATATTTAAATTTAGATTGTTTATAATAAGTTGATTTTTTAAATAAAACATTTCTACCTTTATTGTATATTTTAAATTTTAGTTATAAAATTTATATTCAAATTTTTTTATTTTTTATTTTATGTGATGACAAAGTTTTCTATTTAAATTTAAAATCAAAACAAAGAAATTTATAAAAACTTGAATCCATTGAACACAAAAAAAGACTTTAAAAGACTTGTATTTTAAGCTTCCCTCCAAAAACAAATTTTGTTTGTTAAAAGAAATCAATCATGCTTTTTATGCTAAAAACTATTTAAACACATTTTTATATACCCCTACTTACTATCAGGAGAGCAGACAGTCTAAGACGCGAAGATATGACTGAAGTTTAAGTTTATTATAATTGAGGGATTTTTTAATAACTTCACGAGTTAGAATGAGAGCAGCATTTGCAATAAATAAGTGTGGACTCTGGTATGTGGCTATGGTTAGTGATCCTAATCATGGTTTTCAGACACATGGACTCAATCATGTGGTGATTCTTTGATGCCTAATAGGCATGACTGAAACATGCGAAGGGAAAGCACTTGTTTATTATAAATGTGTGTGAAAGTCGGCTTAGTAGCACGGCTCTCATTTTAAGTCAGTGTCATATGCTGAGATTATCTGCTTTCACCTGCTACCCATAGCTGATCACTGTGTGTAGTAGTATACTGGTAGTAAGTCGACAGAGCACTACGTATGACTAGCTATCATATGTAGCGGCTCTAGGGAGCCAAGTCGTAAGAGATTGCTTTGATGCCGAATGGTTTGATGGGTACTTGTACTCTGTTTAAGGCGGAGATCGATCTTTTACGGCTTGGCTTCCTTAAACTCATTTACTATTTTTATGCAATATTAATAAATCAATGTATATTAATGATTATTTTTTATCTAATTTTTTTAAAAATTCTGTATAAAAAATTACTCTAAAAATGTTTATGATGCAGCCTGCACAGTTATGTTGCTTGATTAAAACAAAATATTTATGTTTAATCATATCTTTTTTGTAAATTATTTATATAATAATTCTGAAGCCTAGTTTCATAAATTAGACATATGAATATTAGGATGTACGATATTAAATAATTAGATAAAATTTACGTAGTCTATATATGATACAGCTTATGTGAAAGAAATTATTGAAGATAAAGAACGCCAAAAATAGTTATATATTTAGATTATAGTAAATCTTTTAAGCTTAGAACTAATGCTTCCAATATAGTATTGAGTGTAATACTAGTAAAAAATAATATAATGGGTATATGTTTAAAAAAATTGCAAAAACAGAGATGAAATATACAATAGTTGAAAAATATAATTATATTATAGGTAATGAAAAAATTTGGAAATATAGTTTTTTATCTAAAACAAATACAATTATTAATTCTAAAAGCTTTACATTCTTAGATAATATAAAAGGACCAACTATTCAAAAAAAGAAACTTTTTCTAAGGAAATATTACAATCAGATCACATATGTTATAAATATTAAAAATCAAGAACTAGATTTCTTATTAAGATTTTATGTTTACGTTGGCTTTCTAAATAAAAAAGTATTATATTTTTTTCTTGAGTAAAATAAATACATTAAGATCATTTTAGTTTTATTGCTTATAGTAAAACGATATAATTTTTTCACTTAAACTATCTTCTTTTTTATAAAAAGTTTTTTAAATAATAAGATATTAAAAAATTTTATTATTATATTTTAAAATAAAAAGATATTCTAAAATCCCCACAAAAACATGTTTAAAAGGTAAATTTACTAAATTTTTATATGACAAAATATTTTGTAGATATTCAGAAAGTTTTAATTGAAGAAAAAACAAGAATGATCTCAACTAAACACAATTGATTATAAAAAGAATTTTTCTGGGAATACAGTTTAAAGAAACATTTTTAAGTTAAATAATTGTAATTTTTATGAAAGAAAGAGAAGATCTGGTAAGAAAGAGTTATTTTAATAAATGATAAAATGTTCTTAATCAAAGAACATGACAAGGATCAATTTGTTATTTTACCAATCCTTTAGGTAAAATTATTAATTGTATTTAATCTGAAAATTAGCAAGCCAAAACTTTCTAGATTCTTTAAAAATAACAATTTTATTATAATCATCTAGTGTAAAAAGGCATTATTAAGTGATGTAAATACAAAAAAAGATTAAGATTATATTATTAATTTTTAGGTATAACTTACGATGAATTAAAACAAATAATTTTCTCAGGTAAATTAAAATTAAATGTGTTTAATAGCGATGGAGTAAAATTTATTTAATATCTATCCGGGGAGAAACATGAAATCAAATATTTTGTAAATAGTTAAATATAGAGAAGGAAATGTTATAGTATAGAGTGCATTCTTATATTCTGATGTTTCTGATTTAGTTTTTATTAAAGACAAGATAACTGGAAGGGTATAAATCAATTTTAGCTAAATATTAATTAAAATTAGCAAGAAAACACCAGATCAATAATTTTGTTTTTTATAGGATAATATCCTTAACATACTTCAAATATTTTTGTAAATTGTTTTGATAAAATAAAAGTAAATTTACTTGAATTGTAAAATAAAGTTCTGATATAAATCTGATTAAGGATATTAGGTATCACATAAAGAGGCAATTAGCCGCTTATGATAAACTAGGTTAAAATTATAAAAATATTATATTCAGTCAATATAGATATATTACAGACTTACTATAACAAGTACCGTTTTAATTAGTGCACCTCAATCAGATTAGTGCCCAAAATTATATATATTTTCAGTAAAATTTTCAGATGATTAAAAATATTTATTAATTATCCTTTCCTATTATTTTTAAAAAATTTTCAAACGATTCTTCTTTAAAAAAATAACAGAAACAGAAAAAGCTCAAGTGGCCTTGTAACAATGAAAGGGTGGTTTCCCTCTTATTCTTTATTATTTTCAATTTCACTTGACCTAAAATATACTCAATTAACTGATTATGAAGACGAATTTTTGGGTAAAGAAATTTTCTGAATGTTTAACAACCTTATAACCGTTAAACATAGTACCTAGCCCAGAAAAACCATTCCAGCCATCACTGTGGATAATGCTATTCTTTTCCACATGTTAAAGTAGGAAAAGAAGCAGAGAATCACGATTTCTCTTTTCTACAACAAACATTTTGATCCTTTTTCAGCTATACCAAAAACTCATGGTCCATTGACACGTTCACCATAATTAATTTTGCGTCTGGTATTATCAAGACTTTCCATAAAGTCATCGAGAAGAAATCTACCTCGGTTATACTTTCGACCTCCTCTAAACAAAAATTCGTCAATTTATATAACTTTGTCTTCTCCTCATAGTTTTCACTTATGATATAATCATAATTTTCCAACCTTTTGAAGTTCTTCCAATTGATTACAGCTTCACTTCCTTTAATTTAAGCAATATACATAATATATTTACTGTCCTTCCCTCAAAATAAAGGAAGATTTGCTTAATCAATACCTGAACAGGTGTAGAAAGTTGTGTTCTCCCTTTTTTCTAATAAAAAAGATATTTTTTAAGAGTATATATTCTTTTTGACACGACTTGCATCGAAGAAAGAAGTGCACCTGCTCGACTCTTTTTTTAGCCTTACAGAGAGTCTGTTGCTAACGCAAAACTTATAAAGTCTTTTGACCATGAGTTTTAGGCAGCTACTTTCTTTTAGAAAGGTCAAGAAAGATTCTTCCTCCCTCAAAATCTACAGCAATGTTTTATAAATCATGAGGGTTATTTATTTTAAAAATTTTATTAAAAATAATATATATAATTTTAGGCGTCAATTCGATCAAGGGGCGCCGAAACAATACCTTTAAACAGTATTCATAAACATGCTTTGGAAGTTTGTAAAGCAAAAGTAAAACAACCTCATTATTAAATTTACCGTGTTTTTTATTTTAAAATATTTAAAAGGTTTTTATATTCAATTATTTAAATACGTTTTTAATGAAAAAGAATATGGGTTTAAATTTAAAAAATTATATTATTTTACTATAAATTATAAAAGTAATATGATTTTAATATCTTTATTTCGCTTAAAAAGAAAAAACATGAACACCTTTTTATTTAGAAAACCACTATATATCTGATTATTTCCCTCTTATTTATTTCTGATAAAGGTTAAAAACTGGTAAAAAAATTTAAATAAAAAAGTAATTACATCTCAAAGGAAATAATTTTGAACGGGTTGACAGTTTATTCAGATAAATTAAATAGAATAATATTTCCTGAAAGCATTACAAAAATAATGTCTTTTGAGTTTAATCAGATATAAGTATTACTAGTATTATTAAACTGATAAATTTATATAGTAAATACCATTATATAAGTAGACTTCGAAGCTTAGTTAAAGAGGTAATGAAACAATGTAAAATTTTTCAAGTTTATAAATCAGGGTCTCATACGTATAATAAAAACAATAAATGTGATATTAAAAAGGAGATTGTGTTAGATTTTTTGAATGATATTAGGGGCACGTGACTTAACTTGTTTTAAATATAAAATATGGAAATCAAGTTTTTAATAATAACTCTTATTGAAGAAGGTAGTAAGTTAGCAAGAGTAAAAATAACCTAAAACTTAATAGCTATCGGTGTTATATCAATCATTTAAGCTAGTTCTAATAATTTAAGACTCCTAAAACAATTTTAACAGATCAAGGGACTTAATTCACAACTGACTTCTTTAAGTGGATGGTAAGGAAAATCAGGTATAATTTATTATACATCCATACATATTATTGTTGATAATTTAATGACAAAAATAATCCAAACCAAAACTACCAGTTTAAAATGTTTCAAAATGAAATTTATAAACCTTGTTAAAATAAGATTAATTTTGTTCTAAATAATCTATTTCAAAAAATCATAAATTACTACCCATGTGAAGTAGTTTATAGCTACTTAAAACTGATCCTTTAAGGAGTTCAATGAAAATTAAGGATGAAGCACAAATCATACGGATAAATTGAAAATTAATGATAAAAAATAGATTATACTTATTTAAAAGTTGAATTAATATTATTATAATATTCTGAAAATGAGGGTAAATCAAATCTCTTTGGTTGGGCCATTTGAAACAACAAGTATTAATAGAGATATGGTTGAGATTATAAGAGAGAAAAGGAACTAATCAAATATTAAAGTATTAAAGTTTGTATAGAGGTAAGATGTCGTATGATGTTTTATGATATCTGTGACAGAACTAAAACATTTTTCAGTTTAAAATATAAAAACCTAAAAATAAATAAAATCATTGCTAATCCTTTCACTTTTAAAACCTTTATTAGGCGTGTCCAGGATTTCTCATCGACAAAAACTATCGATGAGAAAAAACATCAATAGTGAAAATATCGATATTAGTTATTGGGCATAAAAATTTATTAAAAATATTTTTTAATTATAGTAGAGTTTTTATAATTATATTTCTATCAATAAATTTAAACAAATATATGTATGTCTTTTTGAATAAAATATTTAATAAGAATATCTGGTAGTAAATTAAGTATTAATAAAGGGTATTTATTATTTTTAACTAATTAAAAACATGCTATTGTGTATTTACGTTCAAAGACTTTTTTACTAGGTAAATTTAAAGATAGAAACTTTTAAATCTTTTTAACTATTAAAAATCTTATCATATAATTTATACAAAAAAGCATCTTTTAATCAATTTGATTTTAATTAAAATATAAATAAATTACATTAAAAATGTAATATTTTTACTGTTAATTTTATAAAAATTTAAAATAATACATAGTAATTAAAATAACGAGTTCCTTCTATATTTTTAAAATATACCAAGAGTTTTACATAATAATCAAATTATTCATAAATAAAAGATGATTACTTAAAAATATTTTTGAAACGTATTTATTAACATATTAACAACATTGATAATTAAAATCATCGATTCTTTAAAACAAAAATCGAGAAAATTAAACTTTTTTATAGCAAAGAATGGAAAAAAATATTTTTCAAATATGTGATGACCAATTTTAAGAGACTTTTAGGATGTCTTATAATTGCTTTGGTATTCTATATAAAAATTTTGCAAGAAATACTTTAGTAGAAGATTTAAAAAATAAACTATTATTATACATTTTCTTTATAAGTCATACTTCTTCTTAAGAAAAATAAGAGAAATTTTTGGCCTACCAAAAAGTATTATTTTTATCTACATAAAAGAGATGATAAATATTATACATAAAGAAACTTTGAACAAAATTATTTTTCAAAACAAGAGGAATTTGATGAATTAGTAGAAGGATTTTTAAATACGGAAATTAAAACGGTACTGTTTTATCTATAGATAGAACAAAAATTAAATGGTTTAAGACTAGAAAGAATGGTGTTGAATTTCACATCAGACACCATTTATTCTCTATAACATTTATCCGTGTTGTAGATTTTAAAATAAGGTTTAGATGTGTATGTTATAGTTTGGAAGTAGCCATGATTCTTTAGTTTAAAAGATTACAAATCTTAGAGGATTGATAGAAAATACGAGCTCAAATTATTTTTTAAGTGATTCTGCATTTAGTTATTATAAAAATATCAAAACCTCTCTTAGTACAATAAGAAAAAATCTACTGATTAAGAAATGTATAATATCTCAAAAATGAGAATTAGAGTTGAAAATGTTTTTGGGTTTTTAAAGGTAAATTTAAAAGATTCTCAACAAGAACTTGGAATGCTGATAGTGATATGAATTTAAAGATGTTAAAAGATGTAATGTACAGTGACTTTCAAAATAAAAAGACGCCATTTTTTCTTCTAAGTGCAGAGAATCTATTAAAAATATATAAATTTTATTGCTTATAGTGAATTATCGTACCAAAGCCTCATGTCAACTAGTTTGACATATACTTAACGTTTTAAGGTTTTAACCAATTATAATACTATTGGTTACTTAAAATATAAAAAGGAAATTTAAAAATAAATTATGGTTAAACAAAAGTTTTATTTAAACCAAATGATAAGCCCTGCTGGGCACGACATGAATCAACATGTTTTTTAAACTTAAGCCAATTTTATTCTGTTTAAAAAATATAATAAAATAATCAGTAATAAAAAAATTTATAAATATTATATTTTAAAATAGAAAGGCAGTAAAAAATTCCTTCTAAAAATAAGTTTAAAAAATAAAATTTAATAAATTTTCATATGACAAAACATTTATCAGAAAGGTAGAAAGCTTTAATTAAAGAAGGTATCAAGTCTGGTTTTAATTAGACACAAATTTCTAATAAAAGGAATATACTTCGAAAGGATCTGGTAGAAAGAAGCTACTTCAACCAAATCATAAAATGTTTTTAGTCAAATATCATGCTAAAAATCAATTTGTTACATTATCAATCCTACAAGAAAAATATCAGATAAGTTTAATTTAAATGTCAGTCAATCAACCTTATCTAAATTCTTTAAAAACAATGATTTTATTATAAATCATCCATTGAAGAAGCCATTATTGAGGTATGTAAATATTGGAAAAGGATTTAGATTATCTGAAAAATTTTTAGGTATTACTGATGATGAATTAAAAGGAATAATTTTCTCAAATGAATCAAAGTTCAAATTAGTCAATAGTGATGCTGCAAGATATGTTCGATATCAATCTAGAAAGATGCATCAAATTTCAAACATTTTATCAATAATAAAACATGGTGGAGGAAGTGTTATGGTATGGAGTGTAATTTCGTACTATGATGTTTTAGATTTAGTTTTTATTGAAGACAATTTGACAGGTGGAGAGTATAATACAATTTTAGCAAGTGATTTGTTTAAATTTGTAAGAAAACATCAGATGGTTGATTTTATTTTCATGTAAGATAATGATTCTAAATACACCTCCAATATTATTGTGAATTGTCTTGATGAAATGGAATAGATTTGTTGGAATAGCCACTACAAATTTTTGATTTGAACCCAATTGAGAATGTTTGGGTTTGTATTAAGAGAAAACTGGCTGCTTTCAGTAAATTAAACAAAAAGGAATTAAAAAAAGAATATTAAGAATTTGGTATTTAATTGATGTAAATATGTTGCAGAATTACTTTAACAATTCTCATAAACGTGCTCTAAAAGTTTACAAAGCAAAAAACAAACATACTCATTATTAAATTTATTATACCTTTTTATTTTAATATAATATTTATAAAATTTTTTATTCCTGATTATTTTATTATATTTTTAAAACAAAAAAACTGACGTAAGTTTAAAAAACATGTTTATTCACTATATGCAATAAAATTTTTATGTTTTTAATAGATTTTCTGCACTTAGAAGAAAAAATGGAGTCTTTTTATTTTAAAAATCACTGTATATGAACAATTTTATTATAGATTATGATAGTAGTGATTAAATAAAATTGTTTTAAAGAGAATTTATTAATTTAATTTTTCTACTAAACTTCTCAATAGTAATTTTATAATTTTATCTCTTTTGTTTCTTCCTTTTGTTTATCCATTCTATTAAAAATTCTACATTACTGTTTAAATTATAATTATTAAATGACTCTTCTATAGCAGTTAATGTTTTTAATTGTTATATTTCTAATTCCCGTTAAACGTTCTTTTTAATTCTCTTATTGTTTTCATTATTTTCAATTTTTATTGGTTTTTTAATAAAATTTAATTTTTTCATTTAAATTGTTTAAATAACAAGTAATTGGATTTCTTGGATCACCTAATTCTTCAACATCCTTTAAGAATAATTCATTCTTATTTTTTATACACAAATCAAACACTCCTTTATATTTATAATTACTAGGTGTTTATCTTGTTTTATTCTCATTAATTAAAGCCTTTTTATAATCACTTAAAATTTAATTATATTTAGTTCTGACTATTTCATAGTGAATCTCTGGGCATATTTTATATGCAATTTTTTCAAAATTTAGTTCTAGATTTCTTTTATCCTCTGACTTACTAAATTCAGCAATATATTTGTCAAAGTTTTTAATTTTTATGAATTTAATACTTTCATCTGTGGTCATTTTTTTCTTAAATCAAGTTTCTCGTCGTTGTTATTTTCATCAGAGATATCAGATTTTAAAAATTTTCAAGTACTTCCTTGTTATTTACAAAGCGTTTGGGTATATAAATAAATTTTAAATAAAAATGTTATATTAAAAAATCAATATTTTCTATTAATATAGAGTTTTTCGATCAAAAGTCAAATTTTTACAATCAACTGTAGAAATTTGCAATCAACTGTATAATAAAAACATTTTTATTAGTTTGCAAACAACTGAAGAACCTTTGCAATCAAGTGTAGAAATTAATTAAACGAAAAAAATGTCACTAGAATTTATTCCAGAATAATCTCATTTTCAGCTTAGTGATTAACATATCTCAAAATCTTCCTATAAAATGCATCACAACTTTGTGATGAAACTTTATTAAATCCAGTGTCAATTAAAGTTTTAAGAACAGGTTCAGATTTTGCAGCACCTCTTGTAACGAATTTTTTCATACAAAAAAGCATTTTATAATTAGATTAAGGAATGGTGAGTAAGAGGATAAATAAACTAGCTCTAACCCTAAATCATGAATTGTTTCAACCAGCCCTGAATAGAGGTGAATTCTGGTATTATCCAGAATAAACACAGGGGTATCAATACCACCATCATTACATTCTGCTTTGAGTTTCTGAAAATAGGTTTTTAAGGTTTCATAACTTTTAGCCCTGTCATGAATTTTATGATATAACATATTATATTTATTCATAGTAGCAAAAACAGACATATTTCTCGTTCTTACTACAAGAAACTTTTATAATTGAATGTACTCGAGAATGAGCGTCCTTGGTTAGTTCGTATTGAAATAGCAAACCCATCCTCATCTAGAAATATAAGCTTTTTATGCTGTATTGTTCCTCTAGTTCTCTGAACTTACCTACACAAACAAGTCTTTGCTCAGCTATATGATCACAATTTCTACGTTAGATACTATTGTGATCTGCTTAAAGGTATAATAAAACTCTTTAAAACAACGATCAATTGTGCTTAGAGAGATTGATACCAAATGATTTAGTTACTTTAGCAGCTAAATATTAAGTCTTTGTAGGTAGTCTGTATCTAGCCAGGCAAGAATAATTTATTTTTGTTTAAATGTTTACATTGAATGTCTATCTCCGCCACATAGTTTTGAATGAACATTACAAGTTTTAAGAAAATTAGTTGTGATTTTCCAAACAGTTTTGTAGTTCATCACCAATGCGACAGAGATGTCTTTAATAGACAAACTAGCAAGAACTTTTCAGACAATTCTTTCCCTGTCTTCAAAAATCACTTGTTTTTGTTCTCACTTTAGTTCGTTTATTTTCTGAAGTCACCATAAGGGTGAATTTTTTTAATTTTTTTTACATTTAGTTACAAAGATTCTACAGTTGATTGCAAACCAATTAAAATATTTACAAAAAATTTTTTTTCGACAGTTGATTGCAAAAGTTCTACATTTAATTGCAAAAAATAGATTTTTGATTTAGAACTCTATATTAATGATCTTAATAGATAGTTTAATAAATTTTATAATATCGATTCAATCTAGGTTAAAGCATTTTAAAAGATTAGATTAGATAAACAGTTAAACAATTTTCTTCAAAAATATTATGATAAAACCTTTTAAATTAACATTTAATGTAGTTTTTATGATTATTTTCTTAAATGAATCAGATAGCCTTTTATGAATAATTTATAATTTTTAAATCTTTTAATATAAGCAATCAAAATACAGTTGGTAAGTCAAACAGAACGTTCTATTGTTAAATTTGATAAATAAATAATAATGAGAAAGTTATACTATAATAAATAAAAATTTATATTATTTATAAATATATGAGTTATAAAAAATTATTGTTTTTCTTTATATATCTTAAAATCTAAAATATTAAAGACTTCATTTGATTAACAATTAAAAAAACTTTTACTATACCGAGCGATTTTACTTATTAAGTTTTTTTAATAAATAAAAAAAATTTTCTATTAGAATAAATAAAAAAAATTTTAGGACTAGATATATAAATTTTTAACTCTTCAAAATTATTCTTGGTTTATTTACAATATTAAAGGCTTCATCAATTTTCTTTTTTTAATTAGAAAAATTGAAATGACGGTAAATAAAGAAATTTTATAATATTTTCACATTTATTATATTCAAACAGTTTTCATTTATATTTTTAGTAATCTACAAGATTTTCACTTTAAAAACTTTTTTATTCTATATCAAATTTATTTTTATTTACTTTGAGAATTTTGATCTGAAAAAAATGATAAAAATTTTAAAGCTAAAATAAAACATTTATATTTAATCGCTTTTTATAAAATACCATTCATGTTGTATTTTTTATATTTTTTATAATAGTTTGTAATTAAATATTTATCATAAGTTATTATTGTATTTGTTAATTTCACCAATTTAATCATTATCAAATATATTTTTATGTTTTAAAAATCGTTTGGTTTATATTTTTTTAATATATAAATTAAACGATTTTTTAAAGTGAAAATTTAAATCTTTTATAATCAATTTATTTTTTGTTAGAGTTAAAAAATATTTACAAATTAATATTGTTTTTAATATTAATAAAAATCTTCACAAATATAAAAAGTATTTAATTTAAAAAATTTAAAACAATAAAAAAATTACCCTTTGACATCAAATAACATAAATATTTCTTTTAAATTATTTAAACAATTTGTTTATTAAGGTTTTTATTAGAGCTAATCTTTTTCCAAAATATTTAATGAATTATTCATGTTTTTTTAAAATAAATTCCTCAATATTTTAGTTTTAAATAGTTTATATTATCATTATTTTTAATTCTTTAATGAAATAAGTTATATTTTTTAATTTTTTCAATTGTTATTCATAAACTCTATTTTTTTGTTCATAATAATTTGTTCCGTGTTTTTTATGTTTAAAAAGGTAAGTGAACAAATAATTATATTTAAAAATATTTTTTATCATCTAACTATTTGCAAAATGGTATTTTAAGATATCGGAATTTATAAAATTGATTACTTTTAGGATATATATAAGTAAAAAAATTGTCAAATCTATAATTTATTGATACTGGTCATTATTTTAAAACAATGTTGATTATTTTTAAGAGATAAAATTTATAAAAAATCTTGTAAAAAAGTGTTATAATATAATCTTTATATATCATAATACTAGAAAATTGAAATTTTTATTAAAAGTTTAGCTAAAATTATTATTAAAATATTTTTAAATTTCTAAATATAAAAAATAATAAGAAGTTTTTTATATAAAAAAATTAGTTAAAATCACATATATTAAAAAAAGTTTTTTTAATAACACAAAGTTTTATGAAATAATTATAAAACAAATTTTGTTTAAATTTGACTGATACATAAAAGATTTACTAAAAAAAAGTTTCATATCAATCACATATAAAATTGCTAACAAACTTTTAGAAGCAAATAAAAAATAAACCACATTGGTTTAGATTATTAAAAACACATAATTATATAATTTATAATTTGTCTAATAAAAATATAAAAAATACATGAATATATATTTACAAAAAATAATAAATCAATTGAACGAATCTCAAAGATATATTTGTGATATAAATATGTATTAATTTTCAAGGTAGTAAAATTTCTTTGAAATATGTTTAAAATTTTATAAATAACTACAACCATTTAGAAATTTAAAAAAAATATATATTTATAATATTACTGTTAAAAGCATTATATTTTATAGACTTGAATTGTTAATTTCAAAAATATAGATAAAACAAAATAAGCAAATTTTTAGTTACAAAAGATTTAAGAGTAAAAACATTATTTCTATGAAAGAAATATAACAAGTGATTATCCTTTCATAATTATAACCAATGAAACATAAAACAATTAAAAGAAAAATTGTCTTAACATGTTTTCTTATATAATTAAAAATATATTTTAAAAATAAAAACAGATTTTAAAATTAAATTTATCTTATAAAAATATATATTAATTATAAAAATTTAAATTTCAAGTGTTTACAGTTATTTTGACTCTATTTTCATCGATCAAGCAATATAACAATACAATTTCTTACTTTTATATAAAATGTAAAGAAGCTAAAAATATATAATCAATCTTTGTATATGTGTTTTTATCAAGTCAAATAATAGATATGGAAGGTTCCAAAAATTAAAAATATGTATTTGATATAAAAATTCAACCTTATTCATATTTTGAAAAAACAAGTGTAAGCAAAAATTCGATTGTATTTTATGTTCTTTTTATACTGATATAATAAATTATTATAAAAATGAATGTATATGCTTATATATATTATAAATTGATTTAGTATTTATATTCATCATAATTATTTAATAAAATTTTTAAGCAAATAGTGTTAATTAAGAATGAAAATAATTATACCTTTAAAAATATTTAAATTTTTATTACTTTTTTATATACAAATAATTAAAAATATATTCGAATTAAATAATCATAAATATATATTTAAGCTATTTTAAACATTCAAAACAATTCTTTTTTAAATTAAAATTATTAAAAACTTTAAACAAAAATAACCAACTATAAATATAAAAGAACATTTAATGTAAATTTTTGAATATAATATGTAATTATAAAATTTATATATGAATTAAACATCAACTATTTAGATATAATTATAGATTAAAAAGAAAGAATGAATCTTTTTTCATATTTTAAACCATATCTAGATAAAATTTATATTAAATTTGATTTTATTTTTTAAGAATGTAGAAATTAATTTAAAAATTCAAAACCTCACAAATTCATTATAAAATTTAATATTAATGGAACTAGAATAAAAATATAAAAAAATTAATAAAAAACTTTATTAAAATGTATCCCAAAACATAAATATTTAAAATCAACATCAATTTTTGTTTTTTAGTTGTATAAACTAAAAAATATTGTTAGAAAAATATAAAAATTATTAAAAATTAATTGAATAGAAATAAAATTTAATATTTCAATTGTTCTTATTTTTTACAAGATTTGTCAGTTTTAATTTAATATACACATATATATAGTGTTTAGAAAATTTAAAAGTTTTTTTTAAAAAAATAATTTACATTTCTTTTTTATCTAATTAAGCTAGATAAATCACAATGTAAACTTTGGATAATTTTCTATATAAAAAATTATTAAAGCTTATTTTTTATAAAGACTATTGAAAGTTTTGTTAAAAGAGATTAGTTTCACAAAGGTGTAATAATAATATTTTAAATAAATAAATTATATAATATAGTTAAAAATTATACAACTTTAAATCTTATTGATCATCAAGTATATTTTAAAATTTACTCATATTTATTGTTTTACAAAATTATATATAAACATCTAATGTTGTTAAAATTATCATTTTAAGAGATAAAATTTATATTAATATGTAAAATTTTTTACGTGTTTTTTCAAAATAATTACAATATTTTTACTGAAAAAGATTTTTACTAATCTTTAGACTAGTTAATAAAGAGTTTTGTAACTATAAATCAAATATTTAATAGTTTCTACTATATAATTTGTTCATAAATTTTAAACACTTTAAATATTTTTTGTATAATCTCATAATAATTTTTTTGATTTTTATCATAATTTTATAATTTCTCTCTTTTCAACTCAATATTTTATAATTTTTTTCTTTTAAAACAATACATATAAATGTAGAGTACATTAATCATCAACTTGATAGTAATTTTTTCATCAAAAAAATAT